CAGAAGGCCAACCACATCATGGGCTGCATCAGAAGAAATGTGGCCAGCAGATAGAGGGAGGTGATTCTCCCCCTCTACTCCGCTCTGGTGAGACCTCACCTGGAATACTGTGTTCAGTTTTGGAGCCCTCAACACAAGAAGGACGTGTACCTGATGGAACGTGTCCAGAGGAGGGCCACAAAAATGATCAAAGGGCTGGAGCACCTCTCCTATGAACACAGGCAGAGAGAGTTTGGGTTGTTCAGCCTGGAGAAAAGAAGGCTCTGGGCAGACCTTATAGCAGCCTTCTAGTACCTGAAAGGTGCCTATAAGAAAGCTGGGGAAGAACTGTTCACAAGGGCATGTAGCAATAGGACGAGGGGTAATGGTTCTAAACTAGAAAAGGGTAGATTTAGGTTGGATATTAAGAAAAAGTTCTTCAATATGAGGGTGGTAGATCATTGGAACAGATTTCCCAGAGAGGTAGTGGAGGCCCCATCCCTGGAGATATTCAAGGTTAGGCTTGATGGGGCTCTGAGCAACCTCCTCTAGTGAAGATGTCCCTGCTCACTGCAGGGGGGGTTGGACTAGATGACCTTTGAAGGTCCCTTCCAACCCAATACACTCTATGATTCTATGAAAGGTACTGAATCAGTACCTTTCATAGTACTGGCTTTTTTTTTTATGTCACTGGCATGAAGCACAGATCATTTGAGTCATGGCAGAAAAACTAGGAGGGAATGGAAACTCTATGTTCAGGAATGAGCAGCACAAAGGAGCATGTCTCTTGTCACCTATGGAAAAATTATTGACAAAAAATTACATTTACCTTTCAGGCTAACAAACACGTGACTATCAGAACCTGGTATCATATCAGATGGTCTATTCAGATCCAGTGTATGGGACCTTACTGTGAATAAATAAACAGAGATCTACATCCAAACTCTTTAAACATAAAAACATACAGTGTCATTTTAGAACATGTGTTTCATTAAACATCTCGCTGTTGATGGCAGTTACGAGAGAAATGTTATCAGAAATACTAAATGAAAATTTATGAAAATAAATATATTTATCTTTCTTAAATTGATCTAATTTTCAATTATTAGAATTATTTTTTGGTTTAAAATGAGGATTTGTTTAAATAACTTTTAAGATCTATTAGTAAACAAAATAGATGTCTATTTAATATATAAAGAATGCTACCTTGAAGCACAAACATAATACAAATCAATTCTAAACACTTGGAATTAAGTTATTTTTCTTTCCAGAGTGTTTTATTATGTATTGGAGGAAGAGATTTGTGACAAGTTGTGGTAAATTAAAGCAACGTTTGTGTGTTTAGAAGTATTTCACTGCACCCATCAGATATTCACACCACGCTTTACAACCCCTGTCCCTACCCCAAACCTCATCTGTACATAACTCTTTTGTGTAACTTACAGCCGCTATTAATGCAAAAGGTCTTCTCTTCTCTCTGTAAAACACCTTCAGGCTGTAAAATTAAGGAAAGAAAAGTCAAAACTTTTGCTAGCACCCACACCTGAAATTAAGCTGCATGAAAGCCGTGACCTCCACCCTTGTACCAGACCAGCAGATGGCAGAAATAGGTTATTCTGGAGTGAGATTTCCCTCCAGGTAAAAATCAAGCTTGAAATCAGAATTTCAGTCTGCCAACTGAAATGCCAGTGAACTCCATTGACTTTTTTGTTATTATTGATATATTCCCCGAATTAAATGTCTTCAACCAAAAATAACCCTAAAAATTTAAACGTCAAAAATTATTCTCAGCTTTGTAAGCCGTGCAAGTCAAGTTCACAGGTAGACTCACTTTTATAAACCTCTAATCTATGAAATCCACCAAATTCTGAGTTCATCTTGTTGGTAAACCAAACTTTTTTCCCTTCTGATTTCCACTTATTCCTCTTCCAACAGTGTGTATTTTAATAAAGCTATTTTTACATACACTTCTAGTGTTTTGGTGTAGCAGTGAAGTCTGAGACTGTCTTCTCTAGAAAAGTTATGGCTTGTGACAACAACAGGTTCCCGGCATCCTATCCCTTATTCTTACCTATGTGGCTATACCTTGACAGTGAGGTAAGGTTTCTTATTTTCCACTATTTGTGTGGGTTGAAAATTGCCCTCAGTGGGCTCCTTGGGTACTGTAATTAATTGGTGCCAGTCAGTGTTAACTCTCAGAAAGTAATCTTTATTAAAAGGCTTCTCCTTTTCATTGTTTTGAAAGAGAAACAAGGTATTAAATAATCAACACAACATCTTTGTTTGCCTCTGTGTTCTACCTATGCAATTGTTAAGCTTAAAGATCCATTAACTAGGAGTACTATAGGGTTAAAATTTATGTCTAGCAGAGGCTATTTTCTTCTCAAAATATTGCTAGATGAACAACAAACTTGGCTTCATAAGGGAAAAAGACTTTTTATAGATACTGAAACAGCAGGTGGAAATTAAAGATTAAGAGATGAGCACTGACTGTATGAAGTTGTTGCTATGTCATGGGTAGAAGGATGCCTTTTTGCCTTACAGAAAAATTATTTCCATATACACTAGTCATAAACTCATCACAGGGTTAAATTTCTTCCCCATGTTATAGCTCAAGTCCTTGCTGAGAAACAAGTTTCCTGAGATTGCTTCTAGCCTTATGTTTCTAGGATTTCATTCCTCCCACGAGAGCTCCACACATAGTGAATATTGTATTTGAGGAGACACACCTATTTATGAAGTTCCTGCTCTCAAGTAGTTATACCTACCACAACATTGAGGTTCTTCCTAATGCTATCAGTGTACCCAAAAGCCGTGTCAAAAGCAGTAATAGTAATTGGAATTTCTCCCGTAGTCAGAGGGACAACTGAGAAGTAGGCTGGTGTCGCAGAGTTCCCCTTAGCCACCAGTGTCAACTGCACAGCCTTCTCTGTGGCCTCCACAGTGCACAGCCCCTTCACTGCCTCCATCATCACTGTAACCTGTGGGGACAAGGCAATGCCTGTGATCAGGCTTAGCGCATCACTGCACAGAAAAAATACTCCAGCTCCACCATGTCTAGATAAGAATGGGAAATGAGGAAGAAGTATCACAGGAGACTTTAGATTTTGCTTAAAAAAAGAAATAGCACTGTGGACATTTTGCAAGATGGAACATGTTTTCCACTTCACCCCTCTGAATTTCCTATGCTCCATCTATAAAATGGGAAAACTTTTTTCACTGATAAGTGATCAAATGCTGGCACAGGTTGTCCAAAGAGGTGGTGGAGTCTTCCTCCTTGTAGATATTTAATATTTGGCTGGACAAGGCACTGAAAAACCTGCTCTAACTGGATCTGCTCTGAGCAGCAGGTTAGACTAGAGATGTCTGGAGGTCCCTTCCATCCTAAATTATTCTGTGACCCTGTGGTTTGTTAACATTCATCTACATTGATTCAGGCTGTGAAGGTAAATTAGCTAGTGTTTCTTTATTACATCTAATTTGCAATATAGTTTTGGCCTATCCCTGAACCACAGGGAAGTAAGAAGGATAGTACATTTTTGCACATATCAGCTCTACACCATTCAACACAGTTAAGAAGACGCTAGTCAAGCAGAGTTGTCTGAGAGATAGGAAGAGATTAAAAAGAAAAGCATCAGCCTGAGGATCCTGAAGGCCTTAAACCCAGTCACAACATATACAGAGCTGGATAGGTGTCTCATGAAGAAGAAATGCAGCTTTTGCATTGTATGCACCGTGAATTTTCTGGCTAACATATTGGATTGTGTGCTCATAATTCAGCTCTGTATCTTGTGCAGCAGCTGGGTGTTGCCCAGGTTGGCAGGCAGCAAAAAAAATAGCTGGTTGCTTCAATGAAGGGAAAGAAAACCTATCCAAAGACAAGGAATTTGGCTGTGCAATATGGTAAATGAAATCTGGTTTATGTGGTAAATTTGATCAGGAAGTAGAACCACATCCTGTCCTTGGGGAGACTTAAGTTTACATTAAACTATTACATTGCTACATATCTGTCTATCTAGATATGTATAGCACAGCAGTTGGTGGTAATACTACCTGGAGATCGTTGGACAGATAGTTGTAAATCACTGCTTTTATTTCTAGTTGTTCATGTCGTTTGACTGAATATGGTAATCTCAGGGATACAAAAAAGTCTTTGAAAACTGCAAAGGTGTGGGGGTCAGCTATGCAAAATCCTGGTATGAGAAAAAAAACAGAGTTAAGAATGACACAACAGCAGCTGATAAAAAGTTAGACATCTAATCAAAACTCATTGCCTAGGCTCCTCTGAGGTCAAGAGCAGGAGACAGAGATGGGCATCTTCAGAGAGTGTTTCAACGTGTCTGTGCTACAGACCTATCTTTGGGTGGATGATTTGCCCTCTGGAGTTGCTGCCATGGGTTTCAATAGGTTAAATTTGGCAGGAGTATCTGCAGCTTTTGTGAGTGAAATGTGGCCCAGCTTTCCTGCAAAGGCCATGTTTAAAACATAATGACCTTTCCTTGATTTCCGTAAATAAATTCTGTGCCCATTACTGCATCCTGGATAAGCCTCCTTTCTGAAGGGGAGTGGGCAGTACCAGATAGACCCGTTGTCTCTCCTGTGTGGTCCTGGTCAACCTCCAGGAGCTCCCAGACAGCAGCACCTGGGAACCCAGGCTCTCGGGTGTCCATCCCTTGCTGATCCTCTACTGATCTCCTGGTGCTCTTCTCTTCTCTGGCTTTCCAGAGACCAAAGACTTTCACACTCCTCTGAGACAGCCAGAACTTGGTCCCAGAAACATTCAAATAAAAGCAGTGTTGCTACTGCTACCTTTCTTGTGGCTTCCAAGCCATTTGGAAGCTAAAATTAGGTGGTTTATCAATTTGAAAGAATAGGAAACTCTTTTGATTGTATAATCCATCCTCCTTCAGAGCCTAATTCACATTGTTTTTATAAATATATACCTATCCTTTACATTTTAGCTGTGCCTTAATATAGCTTAAAAGAGATGAGTAAATGTCATGATCAAAGAATTTTGTGTTTTTCAGTACAGATGGTCTCACTTTGTCAACATCACATTCTGTCTCTGTTTTAAAAAAATATATGTTCTCTATTCATCCATACAAAGAAACCCAATAAAATATCAAATACAGATACCTTTTTGGGGAGATATACTTATTGCCTGAACTTCCCAGGTAGTTATAGAGTCAGGAGCGAAGTTCTTTACACTAAGAAACACAAAATAAAAAGTATTAGGAGGGATGTATAAAATGTAAATATTGTCACTTGCTGAAGCTTGAGTATTGTAAGGGAAAAAAAATCCCTCAGTTGTGGAGTCAAGGTACTCACCAATATTCTGAAGACCTCTGTGTCAGATAACAAAGCTGATATTTATATACATTTTACTTTATAAATTTAGACACGTACATCTAGTTAGGTAATACAGTACCTATGGTTTCCAGGGTTTTTCACATCTTCAACCGTCCACCACCAGCTCTCAGGAAAATAACTGCGCAAACTGACAGAAGTTTCATCAAACATTTCTTCATGGTCATCATAGTCTGTAAAACAAGAGTGGGGTTTCTGTTCTGAAGTATTTGGCTGCTGATGTTACAAGATCTTCTAGGGAATCAGTTTGTCAGAGCAAAAGCAGCAAGAAAAATACTCTGAAATGAGAAGAATTCATCTGGATTTCATCATGTATATTAAAAAAACCCCAACAAAACCAAAACTGAAAACAGAGAAACAATGACCAAAGATTGTCATAGAACAGAAGGATAATTCTTCTTTGCAAGTTAAATAACTATATGCTGCCAAATAAGAAAAATGTTCCCTTTTGGTAATGTGCAACAAAGACGTTCCCACTGTCCCATATTTGTGACAGACAGAACATGAAAGGAGAGCTCTGAGAAAAATGGTAGCAGAAATTACACTTTAAATATGATAATTTTCAACATAGGTTTTTTTGTGTGTGTGGCATGAGCTCCTTTGTGATCAGATAAAGACTTTGGGGAGAAGAAAGGAAGAAAAAGACAAAATTACCCTGGCTGAAGTGGCCTCTTCTCATCAGGGAGTGTTTTGGAGAAACACTTCCACCCAACAACACAGCATTAAATGCCCCTTAACCCTCCCTTCCCAGCATATGAAGGGTATTTTTTTGCAGACAGTTGCACGCCACCATTCCTTACGTCGTGCCAAGCCCACTCTGACCGTCCGCTTCGCTGCTTTCCTGAGGGCTGTGGCTTTCTCACAGCAGTCCTGGAAGGCAGTTCTGCATTCAGGGGAGCCAACCACCTTTATTAGCCTTTTTGCACAAGAAAATCTCATGGGATTTAATTTCATTCCATCTTCACAGCATTTTTGTAGATCAGTGTTTTGATATTTGCTGGCTGCAATATAATAACCCAGAATTAGTGCTGTGTCAGTAACAGTAAGTGTAAAGATGTTCATTGTGCTTGTTCCCATCATTCTTTGCAGTTAATGTTAATTGTTATTGCAATAGTCTACCTTCCACCAGGGACCTGTTCTCCATCCTAAAACAGTCCACAAACACAAGAGGAAAGCATGGGTCCTACAGCATCCTAAGTATTCTCTTCTGAGTTTTCTCTTCAAATTCAGATGGTGAATTAAAAACACTTCCCTGACACACTGGAACTAGATATCTTGATAGAAATAGTCATGGCAGTGTTTTCATTCTTGAATGAAGAGATTGATTTCAAAAGTCAGGAAGATGCCAACTTCAAGCCTCCATGTCTTCTGATAAGGAAATACCAATTTTTTTATTTTTTTTTTTTTTAATTTAGACCAAAAATTATACTAACTCTTTTCCTACTTGGAGCACAAAGTATCAAAACTGGCACAAATTCAAAGCAGAATGTCAAGAAAAAAATAGGACGTATAAAATATTTTAATAGAATCACAGAATCATAGGGATTGGAAGGGACCTCAGGAGATCATCTGGTCTAACC